CTCTTGAAATGATCGTAGGCAATTTTATAAAGTGTGAGATAATTTGAGGTATATCTCTCTTGTGACTTTCCCTGTGAGTGTGTGAACCTCTCTTTAACACTCTTTGAACCTTAACCTTCTATTGAAGAAACTGTATAAAGACTATACCCTTCTTGATCCATTCCTTTGTGTCCTCAAGAAAAAATGTTTTGATTGAAATAGTAAACTTAAGACAAAAGCCTAAGTTGGGGGTGTTGTGAAAAGAAAAGGAACAAGTCAAAAAAAGTACAAGAAAAGTCTCCCTTAACTCATGGTGTAGCGAAAAGAAGGAAACAGTCTATATAAAAAAAGAAAAAGGAAGAGAAAACAAAAGAAATGGAAAAGAAAAGAAGTGAAAATGGTTGAAAATCTTGTACAATAGGTCGTGGTTTTACTCCCTTGAGCAAGAAGATTTTCACTTAAACTGTTATATTGTATTCTCCTTTCTGTTTATTGTTCTATATTGTTCTTGGTGTGTCAACGGACCTGGTCCATTGACTGATAGTTGACGACTACATTCCATCTAGAAAGGATAAAAAAACTTGAATAAAGTAGTGGAACAAACACCTACAAGTCTCTAAAGTTTAAGCCCGCCGTCGGGACTCAATCATGGAAACAACAAGATTACATACAATCTGCAAAATAGCACGATCAACTCAACTATGAATAGCAATAAACAACCACAGGACAGAGGAACTCAACTTAAAACAGAATTATACTAAAACAGATTAGAAGATGATGAGGATGTTATATAAAAAGGACATTTACCTTTTTCGGGAGAGCAGAATCTAGACTAGACGAGCAGAGGGGCAGCGACTTCACCACAAACAGAGCTTTACCTGATCCCGACAACCTCCCGACGAATTTGAATGAGAAAATCACTAATATTGTGGACTCTTAATGTATGTTTTTCGTAGCTATTCTTGGAAATTTTCTATGTCTACCTCTATTTATTTTGATCAAAATTCCCTCTGTTTTCAATAGGAAATTAGCATCTCCAAAAAAATCCCCTTTTAACGTTTAAGGAAGATGAGTATATATAGGAGAAGAAAAGAACAGGTTGGGGGGAAATGGGTAGAAATTGGGGTGAAATTTCAAATTCGAAATTCGAATTCTCTATTTGGATCAGATTGGAGGAGCTGCTATTTGTACTACTCTTCAACGGAAAAACAATGAAAGTCGTCCGATTATGAGCAAGGTCATAATCGAACGAGAGAGGAAGAAGATGGAAGAATTACTATTTAATCATTCTTAATTATTTCTAACTCATAGCCCAAGTTTACTTGTAGTATAAGTAATATTTAATAAGGAATATATTTCGTCCCTACATTGGTTACTTGATAGAGGTACAAGATTAAATCATCACATCTATAAATTAATCCTCCCTCCACCATTAGGGTTATCCAATATTCTCTACAATAACTTCATTGTTGACAATTGTGGTAAAATAAAGTAAGGGAAAGGAGGTAGAAACCAATTTACGACTAACGGTTCAACTTTTCTGTGTGATGATGTCTTCCTCATCAGGTATGTTCCCCTAACAATCTCTATGTGAGGTTATCATGTTCAATATCCTATTATTATATTATAAAATTTAATCTTACATGTGGCATTAGATCCTAGATTGTTTGAATGGATAATTTTCATAAACTATATAATCGCATCATATCAAACCCAATGATGATTAACTTAGATACCAGTCGATTATTGATGTGATTTTTGAATTAAATCGTTTAATCTGTTAGGTTGATTTTGTTGAGACATTGTTTTTCACAAACCTTTCGTTCTTATAATAAGAAGAAAAATTTCTTGTTGTATTATGTTTAATTCAGAACGATGTATGCATAATTACATTAATGGAACTTATTATCTCCCATGTGATTCATATGCGCAAAAGGAACAAATAGGTCAAACTAGAAATTAATGTTTACACATATAATATTTATGATCACTTGGCATATATGGATTACTATAATTCAATATTTATTGACATATATAATATTCTAAGAGATACTTGGGTCTGATTTTTCAACTTGATGCATGTAATAAGTTTCCATAGTTTGTTAGTCACCAAAGTGGCCAAACTTAAATGTTTACAAATATTCATATGCATAAAATTTTATGATGTTATGTGTGCTTTGTATTTATATAGTTTGTTAGTCACCAAAGTGACCAAACTAGAGAAATTAATGTCTACTTATATCATGTTTATGTTGACTTGATGCATGTATTATGTTTCTATAGTCTGTTGGTCACCAAAGTGGCAAAACTGAAATGTTAAAATTATTCACATGCACAAAATTTTATGATATTATGTGTACTTTGTATTTATACAGTTTTTAAGTCACCAAAGTAACCAAACAAGACAAATTAATGTCTACACATATCATGTTTATGTTCCGTTGATGCATGAATTATGTTTCTATAGTTTGTGAGTCAGCAAAGGGGTCAAACTAAATTGTTTAGAATTATTCACATGCACAAAATGTTATGATGTTATGTGTGTTTTGTATTTATGTAGTTTGTTATTCACCAAATTGGCAAAACAAGAGAATATTAATGTCTACACATATCATGTTTATCTCTTGCACCAAAGTGGTAAAACTTGAATGTTTAAAATTATCCATATACATAAAATTTTATAACATCATGTATGCATTTGTATTTATATAGCTTGTTACTCACCAAATTGATCAAACTAGTATGATTATGAAAAATATGCACTCACAAAATTGTTATTTATCTATGCACATTAATTAAAATCCTAAATTGAAAAATAAATAGATATATTGACTTTCACTATTGCTAGAACTTAAGAATGTTTTACCCAAAGGTTAATCTATCATTTTACGAATAGTGAAAATTATGAAGTAAATCAATATTTTCAATTAAATATATATTGTATATCCAAAGATGTCATATATGTTTGGTTAAAATTACTTAATTGCCTATTAAATATTTTTAAAATGACATTTAAATTATGATAGGGTGTTGCAGTATTTACCAAAAGCAGAATTGTGATGTACATTTATCATTTTACTGAATTCACATTAGTTTTTATATGTGAGCATGTATATCTATTTGCAGTTATTCCTGTTCATTAATATGTTTCATCTATTATTGTGTTCAATGGATTGAACTTATGACATGAACATGCCTAGCTCCAGTTAGGTGTGATGGATCTTGTCCTTGTTCTCTTGAATGACAAACATACTTCCATTACTCATAAGAGCAGGGAGGATGAGAAGTCACTTCATAAATTAAGGGAACACTCTAAGAGAATACCTCAAGTTTGTGGAAGAACGTCTCCGTTCTACTAATAAGTCTCTCACTGGTACACTAATGATTGAACTAAAGAACATGAAGTTTGATGGGTCGTGTAGTATGCAAAATCATATCATTGAGATGACTTACATTTAAGCAAGACTTTGGACCTTGAGAATGAAAGTGGATGACACCTTCTTGGTTCAGTTTATTCTGAACTCATTGTCTCTTGAGTATGGACAATACCAAATTAAATATAACCCTATTAAGGATATGCGGGATGTTAGTGAATTGTCCAGTATGCTTACTCAAGAGGAGTCAAGACTTAAGAAAAAAGGAGGTCATTCCATTAACCTCATGGGTCAACGAGGTGGTGAATGACTTAAAATGAAAGCTAACAAGCTTAAGAAAAAGAAAGCACCTGCTAAAGTTTCACATGATGCTTATACTGAACTCAAGGCTGATGTATGTCCTTTCTATAAAAAGGAAGGCCAATATCTAAAATATTACCTGAAATGTAAAGCCTTGTTTGAAAAGAAAGGTACGTTTAGCGTCTTTGTATATTTCAAATCAAATTTAGTAGAATTTTCTAATAATACTTGGTGTCAAAATGATGAATATCATTCAACTATTCAACAAAGAGTTGAGGCGTAAGACAAAATGTTGAATTAGATAAAACAAAAAATAGAAATGTTGTATGAATCAACCTAAAATTCCATAACCATTCAACACCAAGATTACCAAATCAGCGATTTAATATCAGGTCGTCATCCATCATTCACTGAGGGCTAACCTAACAACACCATGAGTGAATCCGAGGATGAAGAATAGTTATGGACACGCGTTGTGCTGCGACGTTAACTCAGGTATTGTTTGGAAAACAACCTTAAACCTCTTATTATCCTTTAATTAAGTTTTTTGAACAAACCTAAAACCTCTTATTATCCTTTATTTAAATTTTGATATAAAAATAATAGTGTGTTAATTTCACATATTAAGGTACAGAAGGTTCTTAAAAGGTGAGACATGGCGTGCAATAGGTTCAGTGGGTGAGTCAATGAAGAATTCATTGATCAATGATTTTCTACCATTTGACTCAAGATATATTAAAAACCTACAGTTGGTAAAACTCCGTTAGCTTAGAAAAGCATCAACAAATCGCCCACTAGATTGGCAATCGTGATAGTTATCGTCGATTTAACATCCAAATCTTCTAAGAAGTTCTGTAAAATTTTGTGAAGAAGAAATTTATTTGGCGATGCACTAAATGATTCAGAAGTCAATATGTTGTTATCGAAATAAATAGACTGGACAAGTTTCAGGCCAAGTTGAAAAAGGGTTGATGATGAATCATTCAAGAAGATGGGTTTAAAATAGACACATTGGATTGCTGAGAGTAGCTATCACACCATAGTTCACCTAACGTCCCCACCTCACCTTCTACTTAATGCTACATCTGGTGAAGGATTCCAACTCGAAGAAGCAACCAAACCAGGATAAATATCTATCCCTACCTCTATATTTCTCTAATATTAACCTCTCGATTATTTTTATATATATTTGAGGACAAATACTTTTTTATTTTGGTAAGGTGAGACCCACACCTGTAGTGCTAATATTTATGTTGTTTTTGTGCATATTTGGTCTTTTGTGTTTTAAATCATCTTTTATGTTGTTTGTGTGACTATGTAAGCTTATGGATACTTATTGATTTTAATTTTCAAAATGATTTTGGCACTCTTCCGATAAATTTTCAAAATTTTTGCAAATATTTTCCAACTCTTATATTGAAAGTGGTTGTTCTATCGCAAATCCAAGTATCGTTTCTGATCAATACCAATATAACTTGAATAGTGCTCTCAACCGAACAATGATGAATGTGCGGCTATGAAGAGACTAAATGAAGTTGCATAAATAATATGCGAACTCTTTTCATCTCGTTGTGAGTAGCCATGTGTCAGATTGATTCTCATGTAATGACCGTACACACTAGCGAAAACTCTGAGTCTTGTTTGACTTAAGTGTCGATGTCTTGTGTGATAAGCTTACCTTGAACCATGCATGAAAATACCTAAAAATTTCCCTGTCATTCTACTTGACCAAGTAGTGTTTTCTTTTGATATGATCTTAGGGAATTTTATAGAGTGTGAGCCAATTTGACTTATACCTCTCTTGTGAATTTCCTTGTGGGTGTGTGAACCTCTATTGAACACTCTTTAAGACTTAACCTTCATTTGAAGAAACTTTATAAAGACTATACCCTTCTTGATCCGTTCCCTTCATCACGAAAGATTTTTTTTTAAATAGAAATATCCAACTTAAGCCAAAAGCCTTTGTTGGGGGTGTGGTGAAAAGAAAAGGAACAAGTCAAAGAAATGCAATAAAAGTCTCCGTTAACTCATGGTGTTGCAAAAAAAAAAAAGAAACCCTCTGTAGAAAAAAAAAGAAAAAAAATAGAGAAGAACAGATAACATGGGTGCTCATTTTGTAGGTACTAAAACCTATAACAATATCTAAGAGATTCCCTCAAAAGATAGATGAATTATCAACATGGAGAAAGACGAAGTTCAAAGTCTCAGGATTCATAAATGTCAAAATAAAGTATGTGGATGCACATAATCGCACACGCAATCAGATGGCACAAAAAATACAACATCACTCATACTTTCAGATACAACAGCTACACCAACATTTACAAACAACCATATGGTTACTTTACCAACACTTTAGTCTCATATAATGGTTCACTATTGTTTTTAATGCCTCTAAAGCATAAAATCTTGTAACATAAAGTTTCAATGTTCTTACCTTCTGGTGATTAACGTTAATTGTTGATATTTGAAAATCCATCATATCATATTTTTCAAAATATTAGTATTCGCTTCTCTTGAAGCTTAATCTGTAGATAAAGTGAAATTGTTAGTAAATGAAAATTCAACGAGTTGACAAATCGAGTGTCATAATTATGAGATAGTTACCTCATGTAGATTAGTGTGGAAATTTTACATAGAGCCGAAGAAGTCTTCTTTTGAACTGATTTCATGGCATCTACAAGACTTTTAGGTGTCTTGACTGAAATCAATTATAAGCTCTTTCAGTTATAAGGTTGTCGTTGATCATAAATTCATCACTCGAATGTAACGTTCCTGAAGTGGGCTCAATTTCTTACCTCAACCCTCGATGGTTCCGGTGATGCACATCTGAAAACTCTTTGAGCTTTCCATTTTGAGGGCTATGGGGTATTTCCCAGTTAGTCTTGTTTATATTTTATTTCCTTTTTATTTTATTTTGTTTGGGCTAGTTTTGAGTCTATGGGCTAGTAGACAATTATGGTGGACTATGTCAAATTTTAGTTCGTCTTGTTTTATATAATTGGTGGCTTTGCAAAAAAAAAACACTTCATACTTTTGAATTCCTATAAAAAAAATTCAATCACCTATCGATATCCATTTATTCCTTCATTCTATAAATATGTTATTTTTTCTAGATTTTTTTATTGATTTTGCTAGAATTTTTTGTGACCCATATTTTGTTGATCAGTGGAAGTCTAATTTCATTCCACAAATTTATCCATTAACTCGTTTTTATAAGTATTTTGTTAAAATTTGTCAATAAGCTAAATGAATATTTTTGCATATAAACTTTACAAACTCATTTTATAATACAATAAATTTCATAATCGCAAACTTACCGCGCAACACACGGTTATGTATACTAGTTTAGTTTATATAAAGCATGCCAACAAAAAATTTAAAAACTTACCAAATTAGAAATATTCAGAGTAAATAAAATTAGACTTCCACTAATAAAAAAAATGTGGGTCAAAGAAAATTCTAGCAAAATCAAAAAAAAAAATTCTTGAAAAAAATAACATATTTATAGAATGAAGTAATAAATGGATATGGATAGGTGGTTGCCTTTTTTTCTTATATCGGAATTCAAAAGTAAGAAGTGGTTGCATATTTGAACAAACCATGTTTTTCAGTTACTTTATTTTTATTTCACATATTTTTTTGTAGATTTTAAATTTATTTTGTTAAACAAATTTTGATTATCTTTATTTTTTTTAAAAAAAGCACTTGGGCTTAGTAGATTTTATAGATATATTTTATTTTTTAATCCTTTTTTATATTGTTTTTAAAAATGGTTATATTAAATTTGAAAATGATTTTAGTTTTTATCTTTTATTTGAAATTGTAATTTAATATTTAATATAATTACTTATAGTTAATAATTAATAACTCATATCTTATAAGAAAAAAATAAAGAATAAATGTTGTTGTTGTTGTTGTTATTTGTTGTTTTTTGTATGTTGTTTACTGTTTGTTGTTGTTTTTGTTGTTATTGTGTTATTGTTGTTGTTGTTGTAGTCCTTGTCGTTGTTGTTGTTGTAATCGTTGTTATTGTTGTTGTTGTTGTTGTTTTTGTGGTGATGGTTGTTTTTGTCGTTATCGTTGTCATTGTCGTTCTTGTTATTGTTGTTGTTTTTGTCTAATAGTATTTTCAAATAAAATATAGATTACAAAATATTTCATTTTTATAAACAATAATTACTGTATTTTTATGGTGCTTTTCACCTCTGCTATTCGAAGATATAGAATATCATTATTATACATACCACATATTTTTTGGTGATGGATGGTTTATTTTAATAATATAAGATATAAAATATATTGAGAAATTCAACTAAATAGATAACTATCTATAATTATAAAATGTCAATTTCTTTTTTTTTTTAAAAAGGTAAAAGAATCAATTAAAGGCAAACATAAAAAATTCAGAAATTATTTTGAAAAATAAAAATAGAATAAAAAATAAAAAAAACAAATTCTTCAGGTAAGTTCTAAAAATGTAAAATAAATTTATTTTAATATTATTTTCCAATTAATATAGATTAAAAAATAATTCATTTTTATTAATAATAATTAATGTTTTTTTGTGGCACTAACACATGACGCTTTTTACCTTTCCTATTATGTATAGTATAAAATACATAAATCTCATAATGTAAAACCTAAATTACATGTTTTTTCTCTACTCTTTTCTATTTTATAAAAATCTCTTAAAAGTTGTAACATCCGGATACTTTATATGCAACCAGAAACATAAAATTATGATACTTTAAATTACTTAATTGTTTCTCTTTAAAAGAAATCTAAATCTAAAATTAATTATCTATCCCATGAATCACGCAAAACAGATTATTATCGATCTATTCCAATCTTGTAACAGATTTTGAGAATTCAAAATTCAAATTTTCTTTTCCTTTATTAATCTCAAACAATAACTGATACAAAATACATGATGAATTTGTTTATCATTGTTGAGATATTCAAGAATTTGGTTGAGCGATTTGAGTTATGAGCGATATAAAAGTGATGAAATAATTATTGGGCAAAAGATTTCTTTTGTGAATCTCGAATAAAACATTACAGTTGAATTGAATCTGAATTTGTTATTGATACAACAAACAACATGGATGGGGAAATACATGAATATTACATCCGACGATCTTCAAATAACACTAATAGATCTATCAACAGTCGTTCAACTTTGTTGATTCTGATAATTTTTTAATGATTTTTGATCAAATAAGAGCGCAAAACATAATTAAAAGATGTGATTGTTAATTTGATACCGATGGAGATAAACGTATTACTAGTGGAGATGTCACCAAGTTCTTTGCCTTGTCCAATTTGCCTTGACTAGAAATAAAGCAGGTTCTTTCAAGATGCAAAATTGTTTCTCACCATATCTCACCATTCAAGTTTAAATTCTTTCAAGATGCTAAATTGTTGCTCACCAAGAAATTCTTTATTGTCAAACTAAACTATTTATTGAAGATTTCTCGATTGACAAGGTAATTTCCATCATCCAAAATAATTTTTTTGATTTGATGTTTAAGCACCGATTATACAAATTACGGATTTACAAATGAATTTTCCAATTTTCTTGTGATTTTATTTAAATATTCATCATATATTTATAATTTTCACTTTTTTTTAATTGTCTTTTAAATTTTATGATTTTGTATCTTTTAAAATTCATATATATGTTTATTTTGTTTGATGTTGAATGCATTTTAATATTGGAATACAATTTTTTTAATGTGATGTTGAACACATTTATATCATTACACAAAATACAACAGAAAAACTAGAATGAATACAAATACAAATAATATTCCTCTATTATTATTCTTCTCTTCTTCTTTTGCTCTTAAGTTTTACAAACGAAAAAGGGTCTAAAATATACTTTAACTATGTGAATTGGTACAAAATTACCCTTCATCTATCTTTTTGGGCCTAAAATGCCCTTGACGTTAACCTTTTGGATCTATTTTACCCTTATCTTTAACAGTAAATATAATAACTATTTCATTTATGACGTGTCGTTGTACTATTTGCTATCCTAATAATTAATCAAATTAATTATTAAAACTAAATACCCACCCAAAAGCCCTACCCATAACCCAAATCTTTTAACTCAAATATTCTAACCCAAATCTTTTAACCTAGAAAAACTTAGGCTCATAAGAACTCACACTTGCCCAAACCTTCAAAATCGCTTCTCTTCTTCCTCAATCGAAGCCACAAGAACTCAAAATTTCTACTCGAAGTGTCAGCATGTGTTGACATGAAATGGAAACACAGATGAGGAAGTGTCTTGATCAGCATATATTTCTTTAATATATTGATTAGCATTAGCTACTAGTTTCTATGCCGGGGTTCATACTAGTTGAAGCCTCAAGATTATATTGGACAAACAGGGGAAAAGTTTGCATTGATCTGCTAGCATAATAAACTTCGTATTACATCGAATCATCATGTAATGAATTTCGACCGCCACTATATAACTTAACTACGTCGCTAATTAAGCTCAATGATCTTAAATTGTGAAATTATTATGTTTTATCTCATGGATCAAATAATTCTTTGGTGACATCGTTGATCACCAATTCTACAAAATTGATTATTATTGCTTCATTAGAATGAGTCATATATGTGGCAATAGAATTAAACAAAGATATATAAGTTTATGTAATAGATTTTGATCACCACTATAATTTATCAGCGAAAAGACATGTAATGTAGTATATGATCAGTACATAGCAATACGTTTTGGAAACATAATATCAGTTATTATGAAACAAATAAAAGCTTTGCCAGAAAGTTTGAATTCCTATGGTTTTTGATTGAGGAAGAACAGAAGAGATTTGATGGCCTTATTTGGGTTTCGATTGAGGAAGAACAAAAGAGATTTGAAGGTCAAGATTTGGCTTAAAAGATTTGGGTTATGGGTAGGTCTTTTGGGATGGTATTTAGTTTTATTAATTAATTTAATTAGTTATTAGGGTAGTCAATAGGACAACGATACGTCATAAATGAATTAGTTATTATTTTGGCTGTTAAAGATAAGGGTAAAATAGAGCCAAAAGGTTAACGTCAAGTCCATTTTAGTCCCAAAATATAGACGAAGGGTAATTTTGTACCAATTCGCATAATTAAGGGTTATTTTAGGCCCTTTTCCATTTTACAAAACGTTTTTAGCACAAAGTTTCAAGGTTGAATAACATTTCTTGTGAGGTATCCATTTATAATCTAATGTTAATAGTATCTATATTATTGATTAATTTTAAATGAAAAGAGTTTATCTAAAACGTTTATTAAAAGTTATTTTTGTTACTTGTGAGTCCTAATATTAATTAAGGTTGTATGCTATTTTACTTTGATGAAAACCTGTTTCGCTACTTACTTATTTATTCATTGTCTATTTTACTCTAATTTAATTATTATCTGTGATACTTATCATGTTGAACTTATCAAAGCTTGAGTTCGTGACAGTTGACATTTATGAAAATAATTACTTGACATGGTTACTCGACGCTGAAATTAACCTTGACGCAAGAGGTCTTGGCGCCTCTATTACAAATGGTAATACAGCATCGAGTCACGACAAAGCGAAGACAATGATTTTCTGTCGTCATCATCTTGATGAAGGATTGAAGGTTGAATACCCTATGGTGAAAGATCCACTTGAATTGTGGATTTGTTTGAAGGAAAGATATGGCCACCTTAAGTCAACGGTATTGTCAAGGGATCGTTTTGAATGGAATTACTTACGATTACAGGACTCTAAAACTATATGTGAATATAATTGTGTTGTATACAAAATTACTTCCCAATTGAAATTATGTGGGAAAAGTATAAAAGATGAGGACATGTTAGAAACAGCTCTCACAACTTTTCATGTCTCAAATTT